TTTTTTATTTTAAAATTTAAAATTTAATTTATAAAAATATGTATTTATAGATTTAAATTCAAAACCATACATGAAAATTTTCAGTATGCAATATGTAACATTTCAATAGCCACATCGAGACATATACTGATACCGTATTGACTCATTTGAAAGAGAACACCGTGTGGATGTAATAATAAAACGGCAATGACTTCGCATCAAAATCAAAATTCCTCCACTATTGCTTGCAAAATCTGACAATCGGACTGAGTGATGTGGCCCTCGGCGTCATCCTTCCCGGAGGACTTCAGAACTGATGTAATTCGGTTTCTTCCCGTCAACTCTCTGTTGAGATTCATGTTGGTTTCCAGGTCATGGCACTCTCTGATCTCCTGTCCCCATTTCAGAACAACCCACTTCCATCGTTCACTTCAGAACCACAAGCTCATTACGCACCGAGCTCTTCTCTCAATATCTACTCGTTTCATGCTCTTAGACCTCCATAGATCCCTTTTGAAGATGGGAGGAGCACGGTGGTGGATCTTCCATCTCCGTTGGAAAGAGACGATCGCCGCCGCCTAAGAATCGTGGGCTCCTGCAATGGCTTGGTATGCTTGGGTCTTCCACCGGAGACTGCACAAAGCTACAGGAACCTTGTACACCGACCAGGGTATTTGTATGCACCTGGTTTTGGGTACGAGTCAGCCTCTGATGATTATAAACTTGTTTTAGCCACTTACTATAGGGAATCGATATCTGTCTATATGGTGATGATTGCAACGGCTTATCACTGGTGGCACGAAATTGCAATTTTTTCACTGAAAAGAAACCCCTGGATAATCTTTGATGGCCGCTGCTCACTTCTGGAGATATAGGGATGGGTATTTTCCCGAGTCGACCTTTCTGAATGGAGCAGTCCATTGGAGATCACGAATCGGAGATGATAATACTTTGACTGCTTTTGATTTGGAAAAGGTGACATTTTTCCAAGTTCCAATTCCCCGTCTCCCCTGTTCTAGGATGTTCTTCCCCTACAATGGCATGGGAGTTCTTGGAGGATGCCTCTCCTTGATGATTGCTAATTCTGAAAATTCCCATCCCTTTGGGTTGTGGGTAATGAAGGAACATCGGGTGGAGGCATCCTGGACTAAAGTGCTTCATCTTCTAAACCCAGATGATTATGTTCCGCGCGGTATGCACGAAATTTTCTATGAGCCTTTATGCATCTCAGGTGATAATGCATTTATATTCATAGGGAACACAAGAGAATTGATGAAGTTTAGTGAAAGAGGACAAATACTTGAAAAGGTTAGTGTCTGTGATGACTCGAACAAGTGTGAAGGAATTGCATTTGTGGAGAGCATAGCTTTTCCTAACAATCCATGATCAGGTACATACTCTTTTCATGATCTTTAAGCTCATCTAGTGGGTTTTTCTTTTGCTGTAACAAAACTATAACAAAATTTGAAACGGTGAAAGAGTTATGACATATGATTGTGTTTATTTTGGGAGCTTGTAGAAATCCTTTTCCGGTTCTTTAGTGTTTATAAGTCTTGTTATTGCGAAGGGGCGTGCTTCATTCTGATTGTTAACTATGGATGTGTGAAAATGCATCCTCTTTTGTTGTTGGCGTGAATTGATCTCGTTTTCTCAATCACATATAATGAAACCAAGAAACATGGCTACGGTTCAAGAATCATTGTCTTCTTCCATGAAAAAATGGAAAAAAATGCTTGTCTTCCCTTCCCCCTTTCTGATTGCTAAATGGTTGAACTTACTGTCAGTTCATTGCTTGTTGGAGATCAATCCAATTTTACCAACTTCCAGTCCTATTTTCCCCTTCCCCCAGACGTTGTGAAAGTTGATACCAGTGTATGTTGTAATTCTAACTAGGTCTGGTTGGTTTTATATGCAGGGATTTTTATGGGGCTCTAACCTTTTCACAGTTATTAGGAAGTAGTTTTGGATGCAGAAGAGTTGATAAGAATAGCTTTCCACTAACTGGGGATGCTGTTGTTTTTTGAGCATGTTTTTACCTTGTACCCTTTTGAAGTCAGTTTTTAGGGGATGTCATTCCTGTTGATGACTTGGTGGGGTTATGTGATGTTCTTTTGGTGGTTTAATTTCTCCCTTTCCCCCTTATAAGTCTGTCTCTATTGTAACTTTGTTGTAACTAAATGAAATTTCTATGTGAATGGGTTAACATAGAGTAAGCCCTCGGAGTCAAGACAAACATAGACTTAGGTATGATTATTATTGTTATATCATAAAAAAATATAAAAGTAATTAGTTGTTCAAGGATTTTTTTTTTTTTTTTAAATAGTCGCTAAAAAAATCAGTTCATCAATTGATTTTAATTTGCTAACTAATAAATATTAACTGTTTTATTAATTATTAGTAAATAATTATAGTTGTTAGTTAGTTTATTAATTAAATTAAATAAAATTTGTATTTCTAAAATAATATTTTATATTTTTTATGGCTTTAACATTCTGATTAGTGACCATAACCTTGTTTAGCTTGATAAGGATAATTATTTTTATACAATAAGAGGCAGTCATCTCTCATTCTTAACTCATTCCATTTGCATGACATGCCTCTTAAGATTTCATATTTTTATTGAAATAAATTATCATTGAGTGTAAAGTTAAAAATGTCTTGTTAAAATAAAAGGTGAGACAATTAATTTACATCATTACTATTCAATGCTCCATTAGTTCCAAAATAACTTCTTATATATATATATATATATTAACCTCTTTATATTCAGTAATCATATTGAACACTTATTAATTTGAAATTGAATTGTGTTGAATCCTATAAAAAAAAAGCTCTTTTAAATCCTATTTCTCTATTTATAAAATTCAAATTTGAGATCTTATTTAAAGAAAACTAAACTCATTTTACTTAGACCAACAAGTTGTTGGTCCAAAATAACTATTATTTTTTTTATTATGAATGTGTTTCAAATTATTTTTTTTTATTTTTTATTTTAAAGTAGACAAATATTTTATTCTTAATTTAGTTGTATTATTATTATTTATTTTAATTAATCATCCAATTACAAAGTCTCTTTTTATCTTTTATTTTCTTTTTAAGGATATTATACTTAAAGACAAACATTTTTCCTAAATTTTTAATTTAGAAAAAAAGTCAAGAAATGATAGTTATTTTAGGCAAAGGAAGTATGTAAGACAACTAAATAAAAGAATAATTAATGGATTTTTCTAATATATAAACTAAAGGTATAATTAATATATTTTTTTATCTTTTATTTCTTTTATTTTAAAATAATTATAGTTTTTTTCTAAATTAAGAATTTAAAGATAATTTATGTATTTATTTATATTATGAAAAAGTTAAAAGATAAATACATTTTTTATGATAAAATAATTAATTAAAATAAATAGATAATAATATGATTAAATTATAAAAAATATTTATCTATCTAAAAAAAACAATGAAATTAAAATAAATTCAAAATTAAAAAAATAGTTATTTTGAGAGATAAGATATAATGTACATAGAAAAATAAAAATTAATAACTTAATATTAATTTTAATGGCGATGATACTTATACAATTTAATTGATTAGTGAATAAATTAAAAGCTAACATTTAGTTTTTAAAATAAATTTATTATCTTAATACAAATTAATTATTATTATAAAAAATATTACTATATTAATTATACCTTTGATTTTTTTTTTAGGTTAAATGCTAAATTTGGTCCCTCAACTTTAGTGAGTTGCATATTTTTGGTCCCTTAACAATTTTTTGCACTTTTTTTATCCCTTAACTATACGAAATGCACTCCGTTAGTCCTTCTGTTAATTTGGGCCGTTAACTCACTTATGTGGCATTTTTTATAATTTTTTTTATGACGTGACAAAAATAATTTTAAAAAACATTGATCTGGAATTTTTTTTAAGCCAACTCACTGCCAACTCATCAACCAATTTTGCCTTAATAAAAAAAATTACAAATTTACCCATCTCCCCTTTTTGATCCATCTTCTTCCCCTCTTTCGATCATCTTCTTCCTTTCTTCTTTTTCTTTTTCTTTCTTCCTCTTCTTTCTTCCTCTTCTTCCTCTG